ATTGTGTAATCTATAGGATTTTTAATTGACTTTTCAATAAGAATCAGTTTTAAAGTTTTAATTCAATTACAAATAATTTTCTATCTTGTCTTAGATATTTGAATCTTGTGATTGAACACAACTCATTCACTTCTTGTAGTTATGAATGAGATGATTACATAATGGTATTTCTCTGAATATAATGTTAGAAATTTGATAGATTATACCTAGAAAAGATAGACCATGCTACACCCTAGAGTAAAGTAGTTAGGTAGATGGTTTATGCCAATCGAAGATAGTCCATGCTTAACTTTAAATTATATTATTTTCTAGCTGAATTAATATGTGCTTGTAGCCATGATTAATTCCCTATGCATGTTATATGATATATCTCCAATAAATTGATATAATTAATTGGTGGTGCGACGTTAGTGGTGAAGTCATTTCCCTAGTCCTCTCTCTCTATTTTCTACATCCTATTTAATTATTATTCTCATTTTATTTTTCTACTTAGTTAATTTAGAATAAATCATCACAATCTAATTATCCTACTTTCAAGTTAATTTGGAATTTAAGAAATCTGTTGACAAACTTATTTTACACAAGTCCCTTGGGTACGACACCCTAACAAGTAAGCCCTATCTGCAAAGATTCGTGCACTTGCGAGTGGTACATACAAATTTCACAAAAGTTTGGCAGGTTGGGCTACTCAATGAAGGAGTGTGGTTTTAAGCAAGCTTTGGCAGATCACACTCTCTTTTATAAGAGGGATGGTGATGATATTACTTTGCTTATCATTTATGTGGATGACATGATTGTTACAGGTAGCAACACCAATGAGATAGAGAAGCTTCGAAGCTATTTGGCCAAGGAATTTGAAATGAAGGACTTGGGGTTCTGAAATACTTTCTGGGCAATGAAGTGTCTCAGTCCAAGCAAGGACTTTTTCTCTCTCAATGAAAGTATACATTAAATCTCTTGGCTGAAACTGGTAACTCTACGTGTGTTCCTATAGACACTCGTATTGAATAAATCATGGTTTAGCTGTCTATCCTGATCAGATTCCGACAAACAAGGAGAGATATTAGAGACTAGTAAGGAAGTTGATCTATCTGACTCACACTAGACCTGACTTGTTATATGCAATTAGTGTTGTGAGTCAATTCATGCACAATCCGAGTGACCGACACATGAATGCAGTGAATCGTATCTTGGCTTATCTAAAGTCCTCTCCAAGTAAAGGTATTATGTTCTCTAAGCATGGACAACTAGACATTGTGGGTTATACATATTCTGATTTTGCGGGAGCCAAGTTGGATAGGAAGTCTACTTCAGGGTATGTGTCATTCTTTGGAGGCAATTTGGTGACCTAGAGGAGTAAGAAACGGAATGTGGTATTGTTGTCTAGTGCAGAAGCTAAATACCGTGCTCTTCATCATTCAATTACGAAGCTTACTTGGTTGAAGATTCTCTTAAGTGAGCTTAGGTTTGGTCCAAAGAAACCTATGTTGCTTTTTTGTGATAATACGGCAACTATTGATATTGCTAATAATCCAGTGCAACACGATCAAACTAAGCATATTGAACTTGACCGAAACTACATCAAGGATAACCTGGATTCTGGTATGATAGAGGTTCCTTACATTAAGAGTGCGGACCAGCTGGCCAATATGATGACTCATGGTGTTACTAGGGGTCCGTTTCATACATCACTATCACAGTCGGGCATGTGCGATATCTATGCACCAACTTGAGGGGGATAGTTAGCGTGTACAGCTGTATAAATATCTACATCTCTAGGTTTTTTCTTTATTTATCTAGAAGTTAATGTATTAGCTGTCAATTTAATTGTAAAGTTAACTTACCTTAAATAGGTCTACGTATTCTGTATAAATACCCTTAAGATATAGGAAAGTAAGAAATTTAGTCAGCCATTTGTCAATTAAAACCAAAGATGAAGTTCATTCCATTTTTCAAACTTTCCATAGGATGATATGTACTATTTGGTTGTCCCCTCAAAATCCTTTGATCTGATAATGGAGAAGAGTTTATGTATGGTGGTCTTGCCTCCTTTTTTGCTGATAACGGGATTGTCCATCAAACCTCTTGTGTCTATACACCACAACAGAATGGTGTAGCTGAAAGAAAACATTGTCATATTACGGAGGTGACCCGTTCTTTTCTAATTGGGATGGGAGTGCCTAAAAGTTGTTGGGCTGATGCAACCTTAACAGCTACATACCTTATCAATCGTATGCCTTCTAAGGTTCTTGGCTGTTAATCCCCCTTCTCTGTCTTACACCATCACACTGCCTTGTTTACTGTCCCTCCAAAAGTGTTTGGTTGTGTTTGTTACGTTCACATTCATCATCGCAAGGACAAAATGGACCCTAAGGCAATCCGATGTGCCTTCCTTGGATACTCCGCCACTCAGAAAGGGTATCTGTGTTATAACCCTACCACTCTTCGTCGCTTGTCTGATGTTACATTCTTTGAGTCTGTTCCTTGTTTTTTCCACTGCTCGGGATTCTCTACAGGGGGAGACTATTATACAGGTGGAGAATCCGTTGTCCATTTAGAGGGAATGCCCCCTTCCTTTGCCTATTCCCATTCAGGGGGAGGTTCCTATTCAGGGAAAGCTTCTTAGTGAGGTGCCTATGTCTAGTCCTCCTAACACTAATGATTTGCAGCAGGGAAAGCAACCAATTGTCTACACTAAGAGGGCAAAACAAGTCATTGACTCACCCTAGGGCCAAGAAGTCTCCCTCGATCTAGGTAATTCCTTAGTTGACATTGATACTCCTGATTCTTTTCCCAATAGCATTCATGTTGATCTTGATGTCCCTATTGCCTATCGTAAGGGTGGTTGTAGTTGTATAAAACATCCCATATCTCATTTTGTATCCTATGATCCTATATCTCAGTTTGTATCCTATGATCCTATATCTCCTCTGTATATGTTCCTTCTAGTGTTTCGGGGGAAGAAAACCATGCTTGAAGAAATGAAGGCCCTTGAGAAGAATGGTACTTGGGATATTGTTCCATGACCTAGTGGTAAGAAACCAATAGGCTGCAAATGGGTCTACACAATAAAGTATCATGCAGACGGAACAATTGAGAGATATAAAGCTCGATTAGTTGTTAAGGGCCTCACTCAAACCTATGGAATTGATTATCTAGAAACATTTGCTCCAGTTGCCAAGATGAACTCTATACGTGCTCTTCTTTCTTTGGCAGCTAATTTGAATTAGCCCTTACATCAACTGGATGTAAAGAATGCTTTCCTTCATTATGACTTGGAGGAAGAGGTGTATATGGCTATGCCACCAGGGTCTAAGCTTGCAAATGGTCAAAATTTAATGTGCAAGCTAAATAAAGCCTTGTATAGATTAAACCAGTCGCCACGTGCTTGGTTTAAGAGGTTCAACACTGTTGTGAAAAGAGTAGGGTACACACAGAGTAAGGCAAATTATAGTCTCTTCATCAAGAAGCACCAGGGTTGCACCCCTGCCCTTATTGTATATGTTAATGATATTGTTATCACTGGAAATGATCCAGATGAGATTCGTCGAATGAAGTCAATCTAGGGGCAGAGTTCGAGGTTAAAGACCTCGGATCATTGAGATACTTTCTTGGCATCAAGGTGTACAGATCGAAGAAAGGGGTGTTCATTTCTCAACGGAAGTATGTGTTAGATTTGTTGACTAAAACAGGCAAGCTTGGAGCTAGACCTATTAATATTCCCATTAAGCAGAACCATAGGCTTAATGATGTAGATGGAGACCCATTAGATGATGTGGGAAGATTTCAGCGATTGATTAGGAGACTAATTTACTTATCTCTCAAACGCCCATATATTGCCTACGTTGTTAGTGTGATTAGTCAGTTTATGCATGTTCCACGCACACCTCACCTTGAGGCAGCTCATCATGTTCGTCGCTACCTCAAGGGTTCACCTAGTAAGGGGATATTGTTTCGCAGCCATGGCTACTTGCATGTTGAAGCCTATACTGATGCTGATTGGGCAGGGTCTGTGACAAATCGACAATCTACTTCAGGATATTGCACATTTGTTGGAGGTAATCTTGTTTTATGGTGAAGCAAGAAACAGTTTGTAGTAGCTAGATCTAATGCAGAGGCTGAGTTCAGATCCATGGCACGGCACATGGAGTTTGTGAGTTGTTATGGCTACGTACGATGTTGGGTAAGTTTGGTTATCCTATTCGCGAGTCAATGAAGTTGTATTGTGACAACAAGGCTGCTATTAGCTTTGCCCACAATCCAGTTCAACATAACAAAACAATGCACATTGAAGTCGATCGACACTTGATCAAGGAAAAGTTTCGTCTTAGGCTGATTTGTACTCCATACGTCAGCACACATGATCAGGTTGCTGATGTTTTGACTAAGGGTGTGAGCAACACTTGCTTGCAAAATATTTTAGTCAAGCTGGGCATGATAGATATCTTTGCACCAGCTCGAGGGGGAGTGTTGTCAGGGGCTTATTTGTTATTACTTATATAATGTTGGGGCTTATGTGTAATTTCTAAAACTTGTTATTATAAATAGAATGTGGTGGAAGGATGAAAGTATTCTTTCATTCTTTCTCTCTTTCCCCATCTCTCTCTCTCTCTCTCTCATCCGCTTTCTTCTCTTTTTCTTCTTCTTTTTTATCACTTACTCTTGATTTGATTACATCTTAAAGTCAACATTACCCTTGGGTATGAAACCTTTAGTTCAACACATACCCAACACATGTAAGGAGATAACACCAGCTCACCATCCCCTTTGGACTGCCCAAGATACACGCTTGCATGGGGGCACAGAGCTAATCAAGGGATGACACTGCTGGTCAGTCCTAGTTGTCACCACCATGCCAAACATGCCCAACCAATCCTAAAGCCGAGGCTACCATCTGGAGGTATAGCAACAAAAAGCACCAGATCTTAAGGTTCTATGCACCTTTCTCCCAACCCAGCCTAGAGTCAGGGTGCTTCAAGGTATCAGAACAAAGAGTCAAGCCCCAATCAGGACTGACTGTTCAAGTATATATAAAGAGGGAGGTCTAGGAAATAAAGCAGCAAAAGGTATTTGCCTTGTCCCCTATGGAATCCCCAAAGAACACCATGTGGGATTGAGTGATTACGTGGCAACCCATCAGAATTGTAAAATGTAAACAAAGGTCCAAATGCTGATGCCAGTTGATTCAATTGAATGGACTGACTGCAGAAATTTCTGACCAGAGAGGAGCTGTTTCCTTGGGCATTCATAATATTAAAAATAGGTTATCCATTGATTCAGAACCAAAATAAGTGCTATACTGCCAAAAAGTCTGGTTCTAATAAAGAAGTTATATCAAGATGTATTCTTGCCTCGGGATTTGGCACACTGCTATCAGGAACTGGACTGGCAACATGGAACACTCCACTGCATCCTATGAAGGCTACAGAAAGAGAGTTGTAATCAAGCAGATCTGCCATAAAGAATTTCAAATTCTCAGGCGCTTTCTCAAGTTTCTTCAAATGAGCATACCTGTCACCACCTATAAGTTACAACAGAGGAATTTACAAGAAACTTCACCAAAATATTTCAGCTAAAAGGTTTTCTTTCTCCGTTTCCTTTTAGGATGACTAGCAAAATGAGCTTATTATAAGCGTGATGAGAAATGATTGTTAATTTTAATATACATACATACATACATACATACATACATACATACATACATATATATATTTTTATAATTTCGTTTTCTCACTGGTCAAAATATTGGTATACAGAGCAACTTTAAATATATATATATATATATATATATATATATATATATATAAAGTTGCTCTGTATACCAATATTTTGACCAGTGAGAAAACGAAATTATAAAAAGGATTACTTATATACCTAACACCATAACCACACAAGCATTCTTCTCATTCATTTTGTTTAGATTGTTTTCAATATTCCACCTGATGTTTTTGGCAATGAGAAATATATTAAATAAAGAGAAAAGAAGCAATGGAATAAATATTTTCTATTCAAAATTTCAAAAGCACATAAACAAAATATGTAATTCATACTTCAAATAGCAAAAGATAAATTTAGGGGACTATGAAAACAATTTTCAGTGCATTCAAATACACAACAAAGTGATGTTTAATAATAGTTAACAAGGGTTAGTCACTTCTTATAATTAGCAAATTAAACGATACAGAGAACAAAATGACAAGTGAATAGCAAGTAGCACATCGAAATCAGGTCTACATTTGAATGGACTTTGACATGGTCTATGCATGAAAGCAAAACAAAATATACACCTAGAGAGTGAGAAGTGGGCTTTCAAGAATGACCTGCTATTTGGGCCAAATCAGCCTAAACAGAATTTTCGTTTAAAAATAGATGATAACTGAAATGCACGTGTATGAGAGAAATGGAGAGGATTTAAGAGGACAGTAACCAACATTGCAGAAGCATGCCATGAGAAATAAAGGAAAAAATAACATGTAAATTTATAATATGCAACAGCACAGCATAAGCAGCATGGAGAAACAAAACGACAAAGAACACAATACGGAAACCTTAATGCTAAAGCTTATGCAAATGATAAAAAAGATTTCAGTTGTTCATCTATTAAATTGCTACCTACAGTTGACGCTCTATAAAAAATAAAAAAAAGTATTTTATATTATTAATTATTAGATTAGGAAATACATATGCACGTATATATCGTAAAAAAGTAATAGTAACATAAATCTATTAGAAATAAAGAAAAAGAATAGTAGTAAAGAGAATAGGAGGTGTCATATAATTTAGATTAGACAGTAAATTTTTTATGAAAAAAGTCCATCATGGTTGGAAATATGTATGAACGTCCCATTCTTAAACCCATATTTTCGTGAGAAATCTTGTTGTTAATAAATAAATAAATAATCGAGAAACTACGCAGTTAATGATTTATTAATTAATTAATTTTAAGTTTCCCTAGATTATTAATTATTAAAGTATAGACTGTAACACATCAAAGAAGAAGAAACCGTACCAGTTTTTGGACAAGCAGAAGACACATCTCTCTCTATCTCTATCTCGTTTTTGAAATACAATTGAATATGTTTTTTTTTTAAATCAACTAATTCAACTCTGAATTGTTGTGGACAATCCTAGAATTAGTAGAGTCGTAGCATTAGTTGATTGTGTAAGGACATGGGTTACAGAGAGACAACAAAGCACCAACAACAACAAAAACAACAAAGCACACATATGTAATCGTCATTGTCAACGACACCATTAATCGTGACTTGGACTACATTCTCCCCTCGCTTTCCAAGGTGATGAAAACGAATGCATATACAGTAATTTATGCACAAAGGAGGAAAGATTACATTGAAACACAGATGGGTCCATTATGCAACAAAAAAACACAGTGAACATGCTGCAGTTGGATAAAATATGTTATGGTGGTTATTATTATTATTTTTCCCTTCCAAAGTGGAAGAAGAGGTTTTATGAGAATTTATCAAATATATGAATAAAAAAGGAATCTAGCATAAAGGTTTTCAGTCAAAGAGGGTATCACATTAGAAATCGTACTGTTTAAACTTCAACTGTATTGAAGAAAGTTGAAGCAATGCATGAAATATTGAAGTTAAATAAATTTAAAAAGGTGTATTACATGTACCAGTCAATTGGAAGTCAATGCAGTTTTCAGACAGTATAATGTGTTGGCTTTCCACTTTCAAACAAAAAGCGAGAGATTTTGTAAAGTTAGATTTTGTTAGAGTACAATTGAAATTTGTCTGAAAAATAAATACCAAGATGCTTTAGTTACAATTGTCATTTTTTTGAAAAACGAAAATGAAACAAAGATAACAGTCATTTTTTTATAAAAAATGAAAAGATAAATTCTAATTTATTTAGAGAGGTTATTTAATTTAAATATATAATTGTCAATGTCAACTGTTACAAGATAATTCAATTTGAAGTAGAAGAGGTGCTTGGTACAAGAGATATTTGGTTTGAAACGTAACTCTTAGCCAAGAGTAAAGAGTTGGGTTGTTTTAATACGTATATATATTAGAAATACTTTCTTCAAAAAGAATAAATAAATAAAGGTAATAAAATGTATATAAAGAACGAAAAAGTTATAGACTGCTAATAGTAGTATAGATATAAATATAAATATAGATAGTTGTGGGTTAAAGGGAGGGATGGAATGGTACAATAACAAGATAAGTGAATGAGCATGGAGAAGATGTAACAAATTATACATTATATTATACGGTCACCACATTTTCTAGTTCCCTATACACAAGGTAATAAGACACTAGAGCAAACACATATATGTCCAATTCAGTGTCTATACTATATAGGTTGTGTCAAAATCGGTAGGTGTAGCATTTCTTATTGCAAAAGCTAGGCCACAGATCATTTCACCGGACTATAACTAGCAGTTCTGATGAAACCCATCCTCCTGGCATGGGCAAGAAACGTAGAATCAAGCACCTCATTATGAAAATTTTGGTTCCAAATTAAGAGAAATATGGGGAATCTTAACAATCTATATAAGAAAAAAGCCAAAATTTCTCTCCTTTTGAGAACAAAATTTGATTTATTAATAGAAAAAGTTAGTAGTAGTAGTACATAAATACATATACAATTTTCGAAACACTGTTATCCTTTGATTATCAAACAAGTACACTTATACAATTCTGTATATGAGAAAGAGCATAGCATTAGCAATACTTGGATTCTTCGATTTGGGCTTCATTATGTGAACAAATGTAAAGAACCCATATAACTAAGAAAAGAAAAACCCAGAAAAAATTAACAAATTTGAGCAAAAACCCAGAAACTACAAGGTCGCAACCTAATGCTTTGATTGATAATCCATTTAGCGCACAATAAACTAAGTGAAAAAAAAAAAAAAAAAAAAAAAAAACTTCATTGAAAACTTAATTGCTAAAAAGGAAATGAAATAAAGATTAAAATGAATTGATTGTATTTTAATAACGCGATGAAGATGAACAACTTAGAGATAAGAGACAGTTTACTTGGATCTCTGACGGTTCCATGAACAGTGTAGTTCTTGGAGAGAAGAAGCTTCACCAGCCACGAAGCTATGTACCCTCCAGCCCCTGTCACACACACCCTGCTCATCTCCGCCATTAACACAGAGTCAAACACACACACACCCTCTCTCGCGGACTTTGTCGTTCCTTTTAAATTGAATTTTTTTTTTTTTTTTTTTTTTTTTTTTTTGCATCTCTTTCGACATGCAACCCTTTTTAAAAACTAATTAGGAATTGGTCCTATTTTTAACATTTTCCGTTAGTCAGTCAATAAACAATTAACTTTTTGGCCCCAAAAGAAAAGAACAATTAACTTAAATGCCAAAACTTTTTGTCGATCAATCTCTTACTAAAGCCCCCTCAGTTTTTTCACATAAATAGGACTAATCTCTAATTCATGTTTTTTAAGAGGGCGGGATGGTCAAAACATAGGTGAAATTGTGGGATACAAGGAAAAAAAAAATACTTTTAAATTTTATTTTGAATATATGAAATCATTTTAAGAGGCAAAACTTCTCCGACTCCTCATTTTAACAAAACAAATACAGTATTATTTATAGTCTATTATATATTGAGATTTGAAATTTTGGCAACGGGGAAGATGGAAAGTTTTTAGTTTTCAGTTAGTGAGAGGAAAAAGGAAGCACCATATATATATATATTGCCTTTCCTTTTTTTTTCCCTTTCAATTATACCATGTCATAGAGTATTCATTCTTTTTTTTAACTCTATCATGGCTTAGCCAAATCAGATTCGAAGAGTTTTCGCGATTTCTCTTTCGCATTATCCATCATTACTCTTATGCTACGTTTGGTGTGCAAGAATGGAATGGAATAGAATGCCCATTCCAACCATTTCATTATTTGGTATGCAATTTAAAGCGGGAATGGCCATTCCATTGGAATAAAAATCCTTTCCTGAAAATGAAAATCCATTCCACAACTAAACCTATGTCCCAAGTAATTTTTTTAAAAAAATAAATTTCCCAAAAAACCCTCATGTTCTAAGTCCAAAAAATCACCACTGCCTTCCACCACGACCATCTCCACCTTTCACCATCACCGGCACTGACTTTCGCCATCGCCCACCACTTTCCATCACCACCACGTACCGCCACTGCCTTTCAACACCACTACCGCCACCACCTTCCACCACCACTACTACCATTGCCTTTCACCACCGCCACCACTTTCCACCACCACCACTACCGCCTTCCACTGCCACCACCACCGCTGCCATCGCCTTTCACTTCTGTCACCACCACTGCCACCACCGTCTTTCACCTCCGCCACCGCCACCACCTTCCACCACCACTGCCACCACCTTTCACCACCACTACCACCTTTCACCACCACTGCCACTGCCTTTCACCGCCACTACCACCTTCCACCACCGCTTTCACCACCACCACCACCTTCCATTGCCATTGCCTTCCACCACCACCGCCACCGCCACCGCCTTCCATTGCCGCTACCGCCACCGCCTTCCATTGCCGCTACCACCACCACCATTGCCTTTCACCACCACCACCACTTCCCACCACCACCACTACCGCCACCACCTTCCACCATCACTGTCATCACCGCCTTCCACCACCACCACCGCCTTCCACCACCACCTTCCACCATCACCATTACCGCCACCGTCTTTCACCACTACTACCACCTTCCACTACTGCCTTTCTGATGAACCAAGAGGGGGGGTGAATTGGTTAATCTCTTCCCAATAGAATCAATAAGATAATTCAGCAAGCAAGCAATAAGTACTTAAAACAGGATTTACAAGGAAACCCTTTTAACTAGGGAAAACCTTGGTTCTTGGCCATAGCCAATGAAGATCACTACTAGTTGTAAATACCTTGTTACACACTCAGCTGTCTCACCCTCTGCACACACCCAAGCACAAGAATGGACACTAGTTTTCACAACCAATACACACACTAGCTGATTTCAATGCACACACACACTCCCCCTGTCCTAAGCACCCTTGCTTGGACCAACAAAGCTCATATAGCTCACCATATACATCATTACGAGTGATAAACAGGATAATCAAATTCCTTCTACAATTTAAACAGCTTGAACAACACAAAATACCAAGTTACTGCCTCAAAATCACTAAACTGCTGCAGCTAGAGTATGAGGGGTAAAATTGGAATTTTCCATCGAGATTAGTTCATCAGTAGCTTCCACAGTCTTAATTCACTGCAGTACTCATGTTAACATCCTTAAGCAATTTAGTATAGCATGAGTATATATCAATGTACTACCACAGTTCTTGAATAAACACAGCTCAACATAGTTTGAGAGGTTTTGCAAGGTTACAATCACAATCTGTCAATGTTTTGAACCACAGCCAAGTTCAACAGCTTTGATTCATCAAACTAGACTTGCTAGCACATAGATAATCCATAGAATAGCTAGACATAATCATTTTGCACTTGAATCACAATATATGCAGAAAAGTAGGCTTATCTACTGATCTAAGAGCTCAAAATCCATTTCAGCATGTTTATGTTCAAAGCAAACTACTGAGCAAGTGTAAATAGCATAGTTATATCTGTGACAACCCTCAGAAATGACCACAGTAGCTTGGAACTCAGATTCACTACTCAATCCAGCCCTTTCTACAGCAATTTGGACAGCAGCAGCATCCCAACACATTGATCACACATAAGGCTTGAGTCAGTGGGTTTTTCTAGCATAAATCATCATTATAAATCACAGAAAAACTTTGTTTAATGAAAAGGAGCTCGAGAGTTCTCTTCTGCAGCTTGCTTTTAGTCTCTATGAAAGGCCATTAACCCTAAAAGACACCTATAGCAGCATATATATATTTCAGTGTAAATGCTTGACTGCACCTCTCTTAATTCAATGCTGTCACCTTTCAACCAATGATTGCATAAGAACAATTCTGACATTCCCTTAATGAAAAGACAATGTTGCCCTTGATATCTCACCAAATAGTGACACCTCATGCATCAGTAAGAACAGTTCATACAAGTGAGGACACATTGATATTTATCTTTACTTAGCCACTAAGATCTGCAACACCATTGGAGGACAATATATATACCTGGACCACAGCCACGTGTCACACTCCTGAAAATACTTGAAAAGTTATACAAACAAGCCTTATACCAACTGTAAATTATATTCAGCAAAATCCTGTTGCTGAGGCTGTATTAGACACAACGTAGGCTCACCACAGCAATTCAGTGCAATGCAGCTATCCAGCCATACGAGTATCCATAGAATACATCAGGGAAAATACAAAAGTACCCCTGAAAGCACCTGTGACAAGTTCCTTGTATACTGATCTTGACTGAAACCATTCAATTTAGCTGAATCAAGTGTACCAGCTGTGATAAATTAAATCATGCCAATGTAAAAAAACTGTCACTGCAATATAAATGTCAGTGCTGCCCAAGTGATATATGTTAAACCACAATACAGATAGGATATGCACTAAAGCACACAAAACCAAAGCTTTTGACATTACATAGGCAAATAGAACTTGGAGAACCTTAGGACCAACAATCTCCCCCTTTTGCCTTTAATAACAAAAGCTTTGATATGAAATAAGGCCTCAAGTATAGTGATCCAGCTAATAGAAGGAAAACAACCCAACACTCATCAAATGATAAGAATAGCATGTGACACTATCCTTATTTCAGTCCTTTTCTCCCCCTTTTTGACATTGAAGGTCAAAAGGGAGTAGGACCAACAATAGTAAGGTCAAAGAGGTGGGGGAACAACCCTTAGAAGATCTCGAAGGGTTGAAAATCTGTAAGGAAGAAGAGGCTTAGTCATGATGTCTGCAATTTGATCTTCTGTTGGTAGATAAGTAATATCAAGAAGCCCTTTTTGAATCTTGTCTCTAAGAAAATGATACCTGATATCTATATGCTTGCTTTTCCAATGCAATGTGGGATTTTTACAGATGGCAATAGCACTTTGATTGTCATAAAAAAGCTTGGGAGGCATAGAGAATTGAAGGCCAAGATCTGTCAGAGTAGACTGCATCCAAAGTAATTAAAAACCAGCTTGAGAGGCAGCAATATACTCAGCTTCTGAAGTGGAGAGAGAGACTGTGTCTTGTTTTTTGCTAAGCCAAGAGACTACATTAGAGCCACGAATGTAACAGCAGCCAGAAGTGCTCTTTCTGTCAGGTAAGGATCCACCCCAATCAGCATCTGAAAATGCAACTATAGTCATTGTTGGAGAAAAAAATGTAATGTAGACCATAAGAGATTGTGCCCTTAACATATCTGAGAATGCGTTTGGCAGCCTGGAGATGAGACATTTTGGGATTACTTTGAAATCTGGCTACCAATCCTACTGAGTACGTGATATCAGATCTAGAAGCTGTGAGATAGAGTAGGCTACCAATGATAGATCTATAAAGTGTGGATGGAACTGCTTTTGAGGTACAATCAAGTGACAGTTTAGTATTTGGACACAATGGTGTTGAAACAGGCTTGCTATCATTCATGTTGAACTTCTTGAGTAATTCTGAGGCAAATTTCTGTTGTGAAATAAAAATTCCTTTGGATGTTTGAGCAATTTGAAGTCCTAAGCAATACCTGAGAGTACCCAAGAGTGACATTTCAAACCTTGTTTTCATGAGATTGGCAAACTCTGATGCTAATGAAGTGTTGGAACCACAAAAAATGATGTCATCTACATAGATTTGAAGAATTAGAAACTGGTCTTGATGAATCTTGACATACAGAGTGCTGTCAACTTTGCCTCTATGAAAGCCTTGTTCAATTAAGAATTGATGTAACTTTTCATACCAGGCCCTGGGAGCTTGCTTAAGACCATACAAGGCTTTGCTTAATTTGAATACATGAGAGGGATATTCAGAATCTTCAAAACCTTCAGGTTGCTCTAGATAAACTTCCTCACTTAGGTCTCCATTTAGAAAAGCAGATTTGACATCCATTTGGTACACCTTGACTTGTTTGTGACATGCAAAGGACAGCAGCATTCTTATGGACTCCATTCTAGCCATAAGAGCAAAAGTTTTATCATAGTCAATTCCAGCTTGTTGTGAATAGCCTTTACACACTCTTGCTTTATTCCTGATCACAAATCCTTTTTCATTCATCTTATTTCTGTAAATCCATTTAGAGCCAATAACATTTTTGTTTGCAGGTCTAGGTACCAGTGTCCAAGTATCATTTTTGTTAA